ATACCCAGTAATTCCTTTCAAAACTTCCACAGAAGTCTCCACCTACCTCCTCTTCTCTAAATAAGTTGGTTTTCCTTAAGCGTTGGTGTGTATAGTGAAATTGAAAACTGCTTATAATTTTGGGGGGGGCAGCATATCATTGCAATAGCATTCTTTTGTGCTACTTTTTTTTTTTCCTATTGGAGATGTTAGCTATATAATGGACTGAACAGACTGTTTTGGTTATGAAAGCTAACTCCTAGATAAGACCCCTCTTCCCTTCAGAAAAGACATCTAGTTCTAGATACCTGGCTTAAAAACAATCTCTTTTAGTTTTAAGTAAATGGAAGACTAAGAAAGCTATTTTAGATTAGAGGTTAGCAGTCTTTGAGAAGTGGTATGTCAAGATTCCAAACCCTTTCCTTCCAGATTTTCATCAGCAGAGATATGCATTGGTGAGAAGCACAGATCAACCTTTGATCCTCGGGAGTCAGAAGAAGCAGTACTGGTTACAAGAACGATAGGCTGCCCCTGGAGAGCCTCTCAGGTCAGGCCCGGGAGCTGACCCTATACCACCTTCAGCTCAGCTGCAAAGGGGCTTCGGCCAGACGTTTGGAGGAGCTCCACAGCAAGACAACAGCTGCCTAACAGCTAGGCTGAGAGTAAAGGCCTATTTTTTTTTTCCATAAATATTAATGAAAAAGGTTGTGAAAAGACATTTTTATTCAGCTTTCAAACAACCTGATGCTAAAATTGATGATGGCTTAAACATGAAAGTACTATGTCATTTGCTTATTTGAACTAAGTTAGTAAACAATCCGAAATTAAGACTTCGCTATAATTTTAAAAAGCGGTGCTTATTTTTGTAGTTCTCTGTGTACATAGTTGGCTTTAATCCGTTCTGACACAAGTAGCTCTCTTTTCTGAGATCTCCTTTTATCCCCCCTCTTTTCTCATGAATATTTGGTGAATTTTTTTTTTTTTGGTCTATAAGGGAATGATTTCTTTTTAATTAATGAAAGATAAGATACTTGTGTGTTTTAGCAGAGAACATTTTTAAAGAGATTCATAAGACTGCGTCCCCTTTTCTTCTGGAATTTTGTTTCCTCCTTTGGATTTCCTTTATTTCTGATTCCCATTGACATTAACATCATTTATGTTCCTCCTCTTAAAAGTCCTCTCAAGTGTGAACAAAAGCCCTTGTGCTATTGAATTTGTTTGTTGCTTTTTTGGACACTTAACATTAAAAATTTGCCTTTGAAATGCAGAAGGTATGGATAAATTGCCACTTTTGTGTAGAAAAACGAGGAAAGAATAAGAATATAGTTTTGCTTTGCTTGTCTAAGGATAGACAGAGTCTGGAAGGCTACTTAAGAAATTAACACTGTTTATCAAGTTGGGATTGGGTGATGAGAGCTGTGTGGGTAGGGACAGGGATGGGAAGCCCACTTTTCACTGTCTATCTTTTGTATAGTCTTGTTTGAACCGTGTGAATATATAGCCCATTATAAAAATTGTTTTTAAAATCCTGTCAGTGGGGGATACCTGGGTGGCTCAGTCAGCTAAGTGTCTGACTCTTGATCTCAGCTTGGGGCTTTTTTTTTAAATGTTTATTTTTGAAAGAGAAAGAGAGAGGGAGAAGGAGAGAGAAGAGAGAGCATGAGCAGGGGAGGGGCAGAGAGAGAGGGAGACACAGAAGCCGAGGCAGGCTCCAGGTTCTGAGCTGCCTGCACAGAGCCCAATGTGGGGCTTGAACTCACGAACTGTGAAATCAACTGAGCCTCCCAGGTGCCCCTGGACTTATGTCTTGATCTCAGGGTCGTGAGTTCAGGCCTGGCATTGGGCTCCATGCTGAGCGTGGAGCCTACTTTAAATTTAAATAAATAAATAAATCAATCAATCATGTTTCTGGATTTCCTGACTTACGGAAAATAGATCTATCCTTTTCAGTTTTCCCTTTTCCATATGTCCAATAATGCAATTTTATATTTCTCGTTTATTTAAAAATTTTTAATTCCAGTTAATATACGGCATAATATTAGTTTCAGGTGTACAGTGGAGTAATTGAACACTTCATACGTCACGGTGCTGATCACAAGTGCCCTCCTTAATCCCCATCACCTTTTCAACCATCCTTCTACCTACCCACTTCCTCTCTGGTAACCATCAGTTCTCTATAATTAAGAGTCTGTTTTTTGATTTGTCCCTCTCAAAAAAGTTGTTCTTTTACGTCTTTTTTTAAAGAATCCTTGTGTAGTCTAGTCTCAAAGGACTAATAGTATTTTGCGGGCAACTTGACCTGTTCCCTTCTGCTCACTCAAGTGTGGTGGCTAAGATTCATTATGAAGCCTTCCCTTAGAAGTCCTGATACTGCAGAGGCAGCCAAATCTTAAGTTATTGTTGGCTTATTCGCTGAATCATTTAACTGAAATTCTGCCAACTGGATGCTCCATTGTTTCCTAGTAAAACTGTTAGACAATACTAACATAATTAGTGCAAGATTAGTTGATTCTTCCCCCATGCTATCTTGTGTCTTATAATCATGGTTATAATTTACCTACTTAAGATTATATGAGTTTGATGCTTGTAGAAAATAAAGTGTGATTTACTTTTAGTATTTAGATAATTCTGCTGTTTTCAGTACACTCTAAGCCAAGTGGTTTCCTTCATCAGGATTTTTTTTTTTTTGGTAGTTTTTGTCATTTGTGAACTGTATTTTACTTTGTCGAGAGCAAAAAGAAAGGAACTAATATTTGTTGAGCATCTACCACGTGTTGGGTGCTTTAAGATGTTATTTTACTAAATGCTCAGAATAACTCTGGGGAGCAGGTGAATCGTTTTATTTTACAGATGAGCAAATTGAGGCTCAGTGAAGTTTTGAAGGTAGCTATATGTAGGTAAAACAGGGCAGAGCTGATCTGAACACATCTACCTGGATTTACCACGAAATTTTCTGTGCCTTTGAGGAGGGGGTAAAGGCTGACTCTGCTCAAACCCCTCATCTGAAAGAACAGGCAGAATTGATTTACAGATAACTCAGATTACCATCTGCTGTTGAGGTAGTAGTTTAATGAGTTAGGGAACCGGCTTTTCAGTTTTACTTTGTTATTCTGAGATTACATTGTTTTAATATAGTAATTGGTGCCTGACTTCAAGAAGAAAGCTGACTGAAAATGTTTTAAATATCACATATTTCTTGCTGAATAAAAAAGGGTTTAAAGTTCTAAATTTAATTACTGAATGGGTTAAATCCTGAACCCGCAGGTTTTGAAATGTCTTATGTTGGTATGTGCAGAAGTATCAAACTCCTACCATTAGCAACCTATGCCCGGTGAACTTTGCCAACTCTAACAAATGCTGTTGTCATGCTGTTGTCTAAAATCCCTTAAAGTGATCATCAGCAACCACCTATATAAATCTGGAGGTAGAGCAGGTACAATCTATCATGCTAATCTTTGAGGGATGTTAGCTAATGTAAGTATACCATGTGTCCTGGCAGTTATGGATGAGCTCCCAAGTAAAAATGAAAGAACATTTTTGGTCTCAATTCTTATTATTCTATTATCCGAGGCATTTATATGCTGGGCAAAGATAGTAAGAAAGATACTGAGGAAATTCAAGTGCTTAGAAAAGTTTAAAAAGAAGAGTTCACAGATAGTAAATGAAGAGGACTGAGTAAGCCCACCCACAGCATACTCTGGGGTCTGTTACACTTAATACTTAAGGAAAATAAAAAAAGTTTTATATTCTTTTCCCATTGAATTATCTTGGCATCCATGTAAAAAATCAATTTACCATAAATGTAAAGGTATATTTCTATACTCTCATTTTTGTCTTAATTAGCTTAGTGTGGCTTTGGGTAAGTTTTAAAATCAGGAAGTGTGAATCCTCCAACTTTATTCTTTTTCTTTCAAGATTGCACTGTTTTGGGTCCCTTGCATTTCCATATGAATTTTAGAATCTGTTTGTCGGGGCACCTGGGTGGCTCAGTCAGTTAAGCATCTAACCTCAGCTCAGGTCATGATCTCATGGTTTGTGGGTTCGAGCCCTGCGTCAGGCTCTGTGCTGACTGACAGCTCAGAGCCTGGAGCCTGCTTTGGATTCGGTGTCTCCCTCTCTCTCTCTCCCCTGCTTGTGTTCTTTTTTTCTCTCTCTCAAAAATAAATAAACATTAAAAATTAAAAAAAGAATCAGCTTGTCAATTTATCAAAATATGACAACTTGGATATTGATGGGGATTTCATTGAATCTGTAGCTTAATTTGGAGAGTATTGTCCTCTTAATGATATTTCACGTTCACATCCATGAACGTGGTTTGTTTTTCCATTTATTAAGATCTTCCATAATTTTTCAACAATGTTTTGTAGTTTTCAGTGTATAAATCCTCTGCTTCCTATGTTAAAATATATTCCTAAATATTTTATTCTTCTTGATACTGTTATAAATGAAGTTGTTTTCTTAATTCATTTTATGTTTCCTCATTGCTAGTATATAGAAATACAATTAATTTTTTTATTGAGGTATAATTGACATAGTGTTATGTTAGCACAATTGATTTTTAATTATTGACCTTGTATTTAATCTTGCTGAGCTTATTAGTTTGAATAGTTTTTTGGTGGATTCATTAGAATTTTCTATATATAAGATTATATTATCTGTACTGCATAGTTTTAGTTCTTCCTTATCAATCTGAATACTTTTTATAAATATTTTCTTGCCTGACTGCTATGGCTAGAACCTCCAGTACAACACTGAACATAAATGAAGAGAGCTGATATCCTTGACTTATTCCTTATATCAAGAGAAGAACATCCAGTGGTTTTTCGTTACAGGTGATGCTAGCTGTGGGGTTTTTGTAGATGCACTTTATTAGCTTGAGGAAATTCTGTTCTTAGTTTGCAGGGTTTTTATCATTAAACAGTGTTAGATTTTTCAAGTGCCTTTTCTGTCTCTGTTTAGATGATTATGTAGTTTCTGTCCTTTATTTTGTTAATACAGTATTACATTTTATTGTTTTTCAGATGTTAATGCAACTTTTCATCCCTGGGATGAATCACATTTGGTCAAGGTATATAATCCTTTTTGTATGTTGCTGGATTTGGTTTGCTGGTATTTTGTTGCAAATTTTTGAACTATATTGATCTGTAATTTTCTTGTGGTATCTTTGTTTGGTTTTGGTATCAGGGTAGTACTGATCTCCTTGAATGAGTTCCTTCCTCTTTTTCTTTAGGGGAAGGTTGCGATTTGGTGAAAGATTGATATTAATTCTTCTTTAAGCTTTTGGTAGAATTCACCGTTGAAGCCATCTGGACCTTGGCTTTTATTTGTGGGATATATTTTTTTTTATTGCTAATTCAATTTTTTGTTATATATCTATTTAAAAAATTTTTAACATTTATTCATTTTTTTTTTTAATATTTTTTTATTTATTTCTAGGAGAGAGAGAGGGAGACAGCGTGAGCAGGGTAGGGTCAGAGAGAGAGGGAGTTACAGACTGAAACAGGCTCCAGGCTCCGAGCTGGCAGTCAGCACAGAGCCCGACGCGGGGCTCGAACCCACGAACCACGAGACCATGACCTAAGCGAAAGTCGGACGCTTAACCGACTAAGCCACCCAGGCGCCCCAACATTTATTCATTTTTGAGAAAGCGATAGAGTGCGAGTGGGGGAGGGGGCAGAGAATGAAGGAGACGCAGAATCCGCAGCAGGCTCCAGGCTCTCAGCTGTCAGCACAGAGCCCGACGTGGGGCTCAAACCTACCGATGGTGAGGTCATGACCTGAGCTGAAGTTGGATGCTTAACCAACTGAGCCACTCAGGTGCCCCTATATCTATTTTTTTGAGAGAGAGAAAGGGAGGAGAGAGGGGCATACGTGAGTGAGCGGGGGAGGGACAGAGAGAGAGGGAGACATAATCTTAAGGCACCCCATCCAGCACAGAGTCTGGCATGACATGAGCCCAAATCAAGAGTTGGACGCTTCAGTGACTGAGCCACCCGGGCACCCTTATATATATCTATTTAGTTTCTAGTTCTTCTTTAGTTTGTTTTGGTAGTTTTTTCCTTCCTACAGATTTATCCGTTTCATCTAGATGATCTGATTTGTTCCCATTCATTCCTTATTTTACTAATGAGTCTTCTTGATTAGCATGGCTAAAGGTTTACCAATCTTGTTAATTTTTTATTTCAAAGAACCAACTTTTGGTTTTCTCTATTGTTTTTCAATTCTCTATTTCATTAATTTCTCCTATAATCATTATTCCTTCCTTCCTTTTGTTTGCTTTGGGTTTAGCTTGCTCTTCTTTTCTAGACTCTTAAGGTGGAAGTTTAGGCTATTGATTTGAGATCTTTTTTAATGTAGGCATAACATTTACAACAATAAAATTCCTTCCGAACACTATGTTAGCTGAATTCTAGAAGGCTTAGTATGTTGTGTTTTCATTTTCATTTATCTGAAAGTGTTTCCTAATTTCTCTTGTGATTTCTTCTTTGACCCCTTGGTTACTTAATAATGTGTTTAATTTCCACATATTAGTGAATTTATGAAATTTTCTGTTATTGCTTTCTAATTTAAATTCATTGTTGTCTGAGAACACAGTTTGTATGATTTGTGTCTTTTTAAATTTAATGAGGCTTTATTATGGCCTAATATATGGGCGCTCCTAGAGAATGTTTCATGTGTATGTGAGAAGATTGTGTATTTTGCTTCTGTTGGTGGAAACGTACCATGTATGTCCGTTAGGTCTCATTGGTGTATAGCGCAGATCGTGTCTTCTCTTTCCGTATTGATTTTCTGCTGAAATGTTCACCTTAATACTTTCAAAGCATTTTAATGTTTTACATTAGTATAAATATGAAAATTTACTATCAAGGTAAAAGACTAAAATGCAACCTTATAGTGTTGTTTAGTGGGCTGTTTAAACAAAGTTAAATTTAAAAATTATGTACTTTCAGGGCACCTGGAGCCCCCTGTCAGGCTTCATGCTGAGCATGGAGCCTGCTTGGGATTCTCTCTCTCCCTCTGCCCCTTCTCCCTCTGCTTTCACTCTCTCTCTCAAATAAAACATTTTTAAAAATTATTTAATTTCATTAATTTTTAATATTAAAATTTAAATGCAACTTAAGTTCAGTGCTGTTTTCTCAGGTCCATGATTCTTTTGTATCTATGTGATAGGATTTGCTTGTAAAGTGCACTGAAATATTTTTTCAAACAGTATTGACACTCATCTCATCTCAAATGAATCAATACTCTCTTTTGATCAACTTATCTATTAGGAATTAAGAGTTTATTTGCTAATGTGTGGTGGAGGTGACTGTTCCAAAAAATGTAACAAATGTAACCCACATCTTGATGCTAACCAGAATTGGTATATAGTTGAATTTTCTTATTTTTCATTTTCATTGGTAACATTTTTTGATCTGCACCTACAAATGGATGTGCAGTGGTAGAAAGGCCATGTGAAATTCAGTTAATAGAGGCAATTTTTAAAAAGTATAAAGGTATGAATACTAGTAAATTCTTTTCCTCAACTAAAAATACTTGGACATTTTAGCATCATGTACTTGTGAAGACAATATAATTTGACTTTGCAGCACATATAGAAATTATTCTGCATTTTAAAAATAAACTATTGTTTTGAAATTATACCCACATTTTAGTGTTTTTTGTTTTTAACCGTAGTTAGAATGATCTCTCATTTAATGAATTTTGTCACAGTGACCGTTTTGGAAGGCCATTTGGCCTAAGTAGATAAAGGGTGAGGGTCAGAACATAGAGGAAAACTTCTACATCATTTCTAGATTATCCAGATTTTTTGGCTTATTAGAAACAACAGCAGTTAGATAGATTGGAGAGCAAACAGGAGCTATAGAAGAATCAAAAAGAATGTAATAGTGGAAAAAGTACAGAAGTAGACGAAGAAGAACATGGTTGCAGAAGTCTTTTTATGTCCTTGGCAAGGAAGCCAGTGCACAGAAATGCCTTCCTGGGTTTTGTACATCTGTGCATGCTGTGGTAGGGACGTTTCTGAGTGAAGCGTGTCGTTCACTCGGCGCTGCAGTTCTTACAGTGACTGTAGATCGTGAGGAACACCAAATGACCAAAGGAGTGGATTTGATTGTTTCATTAAGCGTTCTACAAATCTAGGGGCACCTGAGTGGCTCAGTTGGTTAAGCGTCTGACTTCGGTTCACGTTATGATCTCCCGGTTTGCGAGTTCAAGCCCGGAGTCCTGGAGCCTGCTTCAGATTCTGTGTGTCTCTCTCTCTCTGCCCCTCTACTGCTCGTGCTTTGTCTCTCTCTCTCTCTCAAAAATAAACAAACATTAAGAAATAATAAAAAAATAAAAATCTTATAAGCTGATTTAAGAAAGTGATGATAGATGTAAAAATGTTTGGCATAGAAGAGGGCACAGTGTAAGAATGTGATAAATGTTGGCTGGTATTAACCTATCCGTAATATTCTGTCATACTTAATAGCTCTGGCTAGGGAATTTAGAAAGCTCGAGTTACAGTGTTAGATCTACCACTAACTCATTAAGGGATCCTTAGCAAGTCACTTGATTTTCTTTGATTGTAAATTACTCAAATTTCTTTCTACCTCTAAAATTCTATGGTTCTATTAAATCCATATAGAAAAAAAGCCTTAAATAAAGATTATTTTTTAAATAGAGGTAGAAGTTTTGTTGTTCTCAACTTTTACCATTTTAACTAGGGTACACTACATGAATAAGATTCTTTATAGCCTTATCTAAAGCCAACCACTGATTTATTTGAAAACAAAGGGTTTCTTTACAGTGTCATTTAGCCTGGCATTGCCATGAATCCAAGAATTATTCCACACTAATCAGAGAACAGTAATTCAGTTGTACTTAAATTTAGAGTCCCACACAGCCATTCACCAGAGATGAATTGAGGTGAACAAGTACTTCTAACTTAATTTGCAAAAGTTCTAAAATGTGCTGGGGAAATACACTGTGGGAGAGTGAAAAGTCGGTGGAGAGTGTGGCTCGGATCATGCAAAGCTGTTGCAGAAACTGCCTTTTGTTACATTTTCTGAACTGTGTGATTTCTAGTAAAAAAAAATTAATGGCAATGTAAATTTTAGGAGCATTTTTGCCATTTTGAAAATGTTGATGTATGGTCTGACTGTTAGATCATGAATCCGTATGTTTGGTCATTTTTGTTTTTAAAAACAAAATCCTATATGGAATCATATTCATGTAGTTATGAAGGAGAAAAGCCTTACTTTCCTTTACGTGCAATACCCTGAACAATTCTGTCCTCTGGTCATAAATGTGTGGCAGTTTTTCACACACCCAGCAGTTCTGAGACCCCAGCTGCGTGGGCCTACAAATTAACCCAAGCCTGACAGCGTTCGGAGAGGCCACATATTAAGAGCTCAGCTCTATAGAACCGTCGTCCCGCCCCCTTCTGCCAACATCTGCGGCCGGGCGGCTACCTGTGCTTCTGAACCCAGGGTTCCCTGCTCAGGTTGGACAAACTTGCTGGGGTGGCTCACAGAATTCAGGAAAAACGGTTTACTTACTAGATTGCCACTTTATCGTAAAAGCATAGAACTCAGGAACAGCCAGCTGGAAGAGATGCTTAGGGCAAGGTGGTGGGAAGGCGTGAGGGAACTTCCATGCCCTCAGTCAGAGGAGCGCCACTCTCCCAACCTCCGCGTGCACCGGTTCAGACGGACGTTTTCTGAATCCTGCCTTTGGCTTTTCTATGTAGGTTTCAGTACGTAGGCATCTGACCGTTGGGTGATTTATTTAACCTCCAGCCCAGCCCCATTCCCCTCCAACCTTCTGATATAATCAGATTGGTGTCCCTGGCAACCAGTCCTATTGTTAAATTACCTAGGTGTTTTCCAGAAAGCAGCACGTTAACATAAACTCAGGTGTGATTGAGGTAGGCTTGTTATATGAATGACAAAATACAGCTGTTTCACCTTTATCACTTCATCACTTAAGAGGGTTTTAGGAGCTCTGCCAGAAACTGATAAAGACAAAATAATATATGTATTTCTTCATATATATCACAATATCAGAGTAGTACACTATCTTTGT